TAAAAGCCGCTGGACAGCGTACTGTCAACTGGACCAAGGTCCAAACTGTACTACAGGGACCAAATGAACATCCATCGGATTATTACACTAGATTGGTCTCCGCCATCAAGACCTGGGGAGGGATAGACCCGGAGAACCCCCAACATGAAGTAATCGTTAAGGGTTTCTTCAAAGACCAGGCCAGCCCAGATATAAGAAAAGCCCTGAATCTCCAAATAGGATATGATGGGAAGAGCGTTAGCGAAATCTTATCCATCGCCAAATCAGTTTATAACTCTCGGGATGAAAGGAAACGAAAGGAAGCAAAACCTGAGACTGAACACATCTTAGCGCTGAGCATGGAGCCTAACTCCAGCCGGGGCAGAAGTTTTAACCGAGGAAGAGGGGGCCGGGGAGGAGGACCCCCCGCTCCCCACAGACCATGGGGACCCAACACCGGAGGATGCTATTACTGCCAAGAAGAGGGACACATAAAGAGGTTTTGCCCCTACCTAAACACCACAACCTATGGAGTACAAGGCTCTAAACCCTTTCCGGCTCAGACCAATTATCCTCCTTTCCCGATGCGCCCACATTCCAACATAACCCAGGGATATGGCAACCAACAACCCACTATGCAAGCACCTCCAAACCACCGACCTCAACCGGGCACACAGGTTCAAATGCCCGCTATGACTCCAGCCACTCATTCTTGGGCAAATGCCACCGCTCCTCCCTTACACCCCCCCAACCAGCCACCTCCTGAAGATCAAGACACATACTGACAATTAAAGGGGAATCTCAGTCCGGCCCAAGCCATCTACCCTGTCCTAGCATTATCGCCAGATGACCCTATCTGCACGATTGAGATCGATGGCCACCCCTATCGATGTTTATTAGATACGGGAGCTACGTACTCGACCCTGACTAGCAGCCACCTAGAACCCGGGTCAGAAACCAAGAAAGTTATGGGACTGGACGGGATACCCCGCACTTGCCCTCTCTCACAACCGGCCAAAGTCACCCTCGGACCCTTATTGGCGGAACACACCTTCCTCCTAACGAGCAGCCCAGTGAATCTCCTTGGCAGAGACCTACTCTGCAAACTCAATGCCACCATAAAATGTTCTGAAGATGGCATCTACCTGTACATGCCCGAAGACTCTGTCCCTGCCTTTCAAGGCATGGTATTAGAGGAAAAATTAGATCGCCAGTTTCCCGAACTTCCCCCAGAACTAGAGAATGAATTACCTCCTTCACTGTGGGGCACGGAATCAACTTCTGTAGGATTGCTATTATCTGCCACCCCGGTAAGGATTACCTATAGAACTGATCGGCCCTTCCCTTGCACCAAGCAATACCCTCTACCCAAAGAAGCAATCGACGGACTGACACCTATGATAGAAGATTTCCTCAGCAAAGGGATCCTTGTTCCCTGTGCGTCACCTTGTAACACCCCAGTGCTCCCCATAAAGAAACCCTCCACAGAAGGAGCCCCAGTCCGGTACCGTTTTGTCCAAGACCTGAGACTGGTAAACCAATTCGTAATACCCCGCCACCCAGTCGTGGGCAACCCTAACTCCCTCTTAAATGCCATCCCGGCGGGAACAACCTGGTACTCTGCAGCGGATCTATGCTCCGCCTTCTTCAGTATACCCTTGGACCCCGCCAGCCAATTCCTTTTTGCATTTACCTGGGGACCCAGCCAGCTAACTTGGACAAGGCTGCCCCAAGGCTACGTAGAATCACCCGCGATCTTTTCCGCCATATTACACCAGGACCTACAGGACGTGTGCCTGCCTGCTAACTCCGCCCTCCTTCTCTACGTAGATGATATTTTATTGTGCTCTACTAGTGAAGAGGCATGCAAATTAGACACTAAATATCTCCTCTCAGAACTAGCCCGGAAAGGACACAAGGTGTCCCCTAAGAAGTTACAATATTGTAAACAGGAAGTAAAATACCTCGGGCACATCCTAGGAGTGGGTACCCGAAGCCTAGCCACCGACAGAATCGAGGCCGTTACCAGAATTCCCTCCCTAAGACTAAGCGGCAATTACGCGGCTTCCTTGGTATGGCAGGCTTCTGCCGAGCATGGATTGCCGGCTATAGCGAAATAACGAAGCCTTTAACCGCTATGACCCGCCAAGACCACCCAGATACCCTGGTCTGGGAAGAGGAAGCTTATAAATCCTTCGAACGCTTAAAAAGAGAATTAAGGTCCGCTCCTGCTTTAGGACTGCCAGACTACCGGACTCCTTTTAACCTGTTCATCCATGAACAAATGGGAGTCGCCTCAGGGGTCCTAACCCAACCCTTCCGAGATCAGGAAAGACCAGTAGCCTATTACAGTCTACAACTAGACAACACCGCAAAGGGAGCAGTGAGTTGTTTAAGAGCTATTGCCGCCGCTGCGATCCTCCTTGAGAAAGCCCAGGAAACAGTCTTGGGACATGAAATTACCATCCATGTTCCCCACTCGGTCTCCACCCTCTTAACCTTGAGAGGTTGTCATCACTTCTCAAACTCTCGCCTAAACCGATACGAAGCCCTTCTATTAACCCCATCTAACGTCACCATCAAACGCGTCAATTCCCTGAATCCAGCTACCCTATTACCCCTTCCTGATGATGGCACCCCACACCACGACTGCGCTACCATAGTCCGCCAAGCCGAGAAACCGCGGGAGGATCTAGACCACCTTCCCTTAGAAAACCCCGACCTCATACTGTACACTGATGGCAGCTCAAAGGTCATCGAAGGGGAAAGGAAGACAGGGTACGCAGTCGTCTCTGACTTTGAAGTCCTGGAATCCAACCCAATTAACCCACAGTATAGCGCCCAAGCCGCTGAATTAATTGCACTCATACGTGCTTGTGAACTTGGCGAAGGGAAGAGAACCACCATTTACACGGACAGTAAATACTGCTTCGGGCTCGTACACACAACCGGTCAAATTTGGCTTCAAAGGGGCTTCTTAACTGCAGCCGGCTCCCAAATTTCACACGCCGCCCTAGTAGAGAGACTTCTTACAGCCATTCACTTACCGAGTGCAATAGCAGTAGTCCACTGTAAAGCACACACCAAAGGGAGGGACCCGGTCTCAAAGGGAAACAGACGGGCTGATAAAGCTGCCCAAATTGCTGCCCTTCGCCCCCCAAATAATGAGTCCGAATTTCAAGCCTTACAATTACCTACAGACATAGACGCAACACAAATATATGATTCAGCCCCAGAGGAGGAAAAATCAAAATGGGAATCCGTGGGCGCAACTGAACAGAATGGTATTTGGACCCTCCCCGATGGCAGGACAGTCCTTCCAAGAGCCTGGGTTCCAAAATTAGTGAGAATCCTCCACCAACAGACTCACTGGGGAAAATGGAGATTAATAGACCACGTTACGAGGTCCTGGTACGCCCCAGGGATAGCCACCGCAGCTACAGCAGCCTCCAAGAACTGCATTACCTGCCATCACTTCAACCCCAAACGTGAGCCCAAAAGGAAACCACCAGGAGCTAGACCGTGGGCCTTTGTCCCCTTTGAGAGTTTACAGCTAGACTTTATCGACTTACCCCAATGCCAAGGCTTCAAGCATGCCCTGATTATAATAGATCAATTTTCCTCTTGGGTGGAGGGATTCCCCTGTCGAAAGGCCACCGCATCGGTAGTCGCTAGGGCCCTCCTTCAAGACATCATTCCTCGATATGGGATACCCCGCCGCCTAGACAGTGACAGGGGAACTCACTTCACTGCAGAAGTGGTACAATTGGTGGCCAAAGCCCTCCAAATAAAGTGGGACCTTCATACACCGTACCACCCACAGTCCTCTGGTCAAGTAGAACGTATGAACCAGGAGATAAAAATGCAACTGGGAAAACTCTGTAGACTCTCGGGGCTGAAATGGGTAAATGCACTCCCACTGGTCCTTCATAATATACGAAGTGCCCCAACAGGACCTTTGAAACTTTCCCCATTCGAACTTCTATTCGGGAGACCCCCTCCCGTATACAACACCTTGTTTCCTCTCTCAGAACTGGACGTGGGGGAGGCGGAACTCACTAACTATATTATTCAGCTTCAGACACAGCTACTACGCCTCCACCAGTACGCGGCTATCGAGGGACAAAACCTGCCTATTGACGTCCATGCCCACTCTTTCCATCCCGGCGACTGGATCCTCGTTAAGGTCTATCAGAAGGCGCCGCTCCAACCTGCGTGGGAAGGTCCTTACCAAGTACTACTGACCTCCCCGACTGCCGTGAAAGTGGGAGAGAAAAACGCGTGGCTACATCACACGAGGTGCAAAACATCCCCACCACCCCAAGAGACGCTAGAAAACCCCGAGGAGGACTACGCCTACGAGACCCCACCCCACTCGCCGGCTACCTACATCGACGACGACGAGGAACAGACCGGACCGGATCGGGGCCAAGATCGGGCTCAACAGACCGGACCGGATCGGGGCCAAGATCGGGCTCAACAGACCGGACCTGACCGAGGCCAAGTTCGGGCCCAACAGACCGGACCTGATCAGAGCCAAGTTCCGACCCAACACGCCAGACCGGACGTTACAGCACCTAACTGGACGTCCGAGATCGTCCCAGACTCCAACGCCATCAAACTTCGCCTTAAGTGCCTTTGACAGCTCGTTTGACAGCTCGTTTGACAGCTCCATAGACTGCTATTACTTGCCTTTGACAGCTCGTTTGACAGCTCGCTTGACAGCTCCATAGACTGCTATTACTTGCCTTTGACAGCTCGTTTGACAGCTCGCTTGACAGCTCCATAGACTGCTATTACTTGCCTTTGACAGCTCGTTTGACAGCTCGTTTGACAGCTCCATAGACTGCTATTACTTGCCTTTGACAGCTCGTTTGACAGCTCGTTTGACAGCTCCATAGACTGCTATTGCTTGCTTTTGTCAGCTCGTTTGACAGCTCGTTTGACGGCTCCACAGACTACTATCGCCTGCGTCTGACAACTCGATCCGCAGCTTCAACTACCCCCCCCCGCCAGGAGCCATGAACCCCACCACTGCTCTCATCCTCCTTGTCACCCTGACTGCGACAACACCTTCCTCGTTGAGCCACTGCACTGGACTACAAACAGACTACCATTTCCTCGACTATCACAAGGTCGAAACGGGAGGGAAGTCCAACCCGGACCGAATGGGGGACTTTGAGTTCTGCCTTCCAGAATCTCGAACTCTACTGCGTCATTCCCTGGTACCCCGGCTCACCGACAGCGCATACTGGGAACTCTTCATCCGAGATAAGGACTTACGTCGCATCGGGTCAGCTGCCCTCACACTTGATCACTCCTTTTACCGGCTGAAATGTTATAATGGAACTTACCTACTCTATAACAACGGAGAAGTCACACGCAGCCCTAACTGGACCGAGGCCGAACTGGGAACGGCCTCCCACGTATACACAGACCCCAATCACCCCTCCGAGAACTTGATCTTTGGGTTCCAGTGCCTCCTCACGACCCCAAAACCCCACAAGCCCCAACTCCAAGGACTTTGCCTCAGACGATTCTGCTGCCTTTGGAACTTGGGAGTCACCCGTGATTGGAAGGGAGCCGACTACCTAGAAGGGTGGCACCATCCCATACACCCCTCACGCTCTCCTTCATGGGACAACGTTGGGCCTCTGAGGTGCGGCGGCATTGCCCGGGATAGGCGGCTCCTAAATACCTCTGACCCACTCCACCCATTTGGCACTGCACCTCGACGACTAGGCCCTGCACCTGCCCTCCCAGGAGAAGACCTTCTTTCCTCCTGGGAACAGAACTCCTACATCAAACTTCTCAGCCAGGTCGCTAAAGAAGCACCATACCCCGATTGCTGGATTTGCGCTCATGCTCCCAGCCACCTTCAACAGAGTCTACCCCTGGTCCCGGTGCCAGTGACCTTAGAACAATTTCGCTCCGGAGATGTCGTCTCCTGGAACCTAACTGCATTAAATCTAACACACCAATATCTGTACCTCACCGGCCCCACGAAAGGACCCCTTTGCCGCAGTTTCACTGGAGAGGGAACCTTCATCGGATCCAGTACCTGCAATACTGACTTAGAAATCCTAGCCGATGGCCAAGTCACCATCACTGACCCACGTGGTTCCCAGACCTTCCCCAATCTCACCATTGCATGGGCTACTGCTGTCAGCCAACCCCCCACCTGGCAACCACAACTCACAGACTTTATGCTGTTACAGACTTTTGCTTCAGGAAGGATGGAATCTTACCTCAGTGGCTTATTCTGGATTTGCGGACACCGCGCATATACTTGGGTGAGCCCACACATGTCGGGCTCCTGTTTTGTGGGGTACATCGTCCCCGGAATTAGAGTTGTCCCACACCTGCCCCCCGGAAGACAGAGGAATAAAAGGGACCAAACACAGCTGTCAGACCTCTCAGACGTTGCTGCAAATGGAGAAACCGTAGGCCGTGCCCTCTTTCCCGCCTATGGAGCCGGATCTAACCATGTAGACATTCTTCGCCTTACAGACATTCTCCTCAAATTTATGCAAGAAGCCACTCAGATTACCGACTCCTTGGTGTCCGAACTATCCGAGGTAAGACAACTCAGTCTACAGACCAGGATTGCAACCGACTTCCTGCTGTCTAGTCAAGGAGGGACATGCGCCCTAATAGGAGCTGAGTGTTGTACATATGTAACCGATCAATCCCTCAATATAACTGGACATTTAAATAATATCCATGAACTAGCAGGAAAGCTACAAGATATACAACATGAAGGGCTGTCCGATGTAGACTTGTGGGGATGGTTACCCAAGTTAGGATGGCTCCGACAGTTACTGAAAGTCGTAATTTCTACTGTTTTAATTGTTATCCTTTGTGTCCTGACCCTCTGTTGTGCCATACATTGTATTCCTCCCTGCTGTTCCCTTCTTCGCTGCCCGACTCAAGCTACCTCTCTCTCACTCCGAGCGTATTCCCGCTCACAGCGTACCCCTACTTTCCCAGAATATGTACAGATGAGGCATTTAGGGGAAGGGGAATACGAGATCACTCAGATCTAGGTGCGGAGAAAGGATTTGCAAGTTCTTGCAGAACTTTGACGCAAATCTATCTCCGAATGGGGGACTGATACGGTAAACGGGGGTCCACCCTCCCACGTCCGAAACGATGACCTCAAGAGCGCCCACTACACTCTGCACCCCTTCCCCAGCCTCTTCACTGTCGCACAAGCACCACACACAACCCTTTTCCCCTTTTCCACGGGCGAAATAAGCCCAAAACTCCCAAGCCCCTATCCCTTCTCTCGCTCCATCTTTATTATGAGTCGACCGTGTCAAAATACATCCCCGTTTGTTCCAATGGCCGCGTCTTGACCAATCAGATACGTGCATCTGCTCTGCAGAACCAGCTCAGCGAGCCTCTGCACGCCTCATTTAACCTCTTGACAAGCTGCTGACAGCTCCCCGCTGAGAGAACAATGGAATCGAAACTCGTAACCTCGTAAAACTGTCAAACCCTGTTACAATGTATCCAGTTTAGCTCGTAAAACTGTCAAATGTATCTAGTTTGTTTCCGTTTTCTATTATTATTGTAAGAATGGACGAAATAGACTGAAAACTTCTTAAATTCATATAAAATCAACCCCTTCTCCGATTTCCTTGGTTCTGGTGTCAATCGACTCAGCCTTTCCAGGACTCCATAATCCCTCGAGCGAGGAGTCACGTACTCAGGAAGACCTTAATCTGGTCAGATCACCTCGCCCAGCCCTTCCTCCGGGCAATACCAGGTGGCAGACTTTACATATTCGGACCATTGTCTTCTCATCACCGGTACTCAGGAAGTGCTTATCTATGCATATCTTCAGCTCTGCATATTCCCTCCTCCCTGTCCTCTATGCTAATCCGTGTAACCCAACCTCTCTGTGATATCACCCATGTAACCCAACCTCTTTGTAATGTATTCATGACGCGTTTCGCACTGTATTATGGGACATGGAGGGAAGTTTCAAAACTCCTGTCACCCCTTACTCGGGGTTCAATTTCATCTTGAACCTGTTGCGCAATAAACTTGGATTTCCTGGAACTTGCTCCCGTCTCCGGCTGAGCTCATTTTCTCCCGCAGGGACCCGCGGACTCAGTCCGACGAGCTGGGTGGCAGAGTAACCCCGCACCCAGATTTT